AACCAGACTGAGCTATTGACTGAGCGTTTATAATTAATATTAAGCCTATGCATTTTATTTTGGAGCCAATATTCCTGACAAAACACTCCATTACATTATGTGCATTTCTGGTACCTGTGGAGGTCAGAAGAAGGAATCAGATCTCCTGGAATTAGAGTTACAGACAGTTTTGAGCCATCATGAGGGTGCTGGGACCCGAACCCTCTGCAAGAGCAGCAAGTGCTTTTAACTGCTGAAACATCTCTCTACTCTCTCCATCTTATTTTTTGAGAGGACATATCTCACTGAACTTGGAGCTCAGCTAGACTGGCTGGCCAATGTGCCCCAGGGATGCTCCTGTCTCCTCTCCTCTGTCCGAGGACTATAGGTACTTGCTGCCATGCCTGGCTTACATGGATATGGGGAATCCAACTCAAGTCCTGGTATTTGTGTAGCAAGCCCTTTAACCACTGAGCTATTTCCCCCAGACTCTTGACATTCTTTCTACAGTGGCTTAACGGATTTTCAAATACATCCTGTGACTTTTTCCCTTAGCTCTTGAGTTTTACAGTTAGAGATATCCAGCCACTGGCAGAAAAATTCACATTGTTCCTTGACCTTAAAATTGTCTGTTGTGGTAGAAAGGGCTTAATGGAAGTAGTAATCCCATTTCCTACTAAAATTATAAACTAAAGGGGGTTTTTGTTTGTTTGTTTGTTGAGACTGGTATCATTATGTAATCCTGGTTGATTTGGAATTTCCCATACAGAAAATTGACTGGTCTTGAACTCAGAGAGATATGCCTACTTCTGTTTCACAAGTGCTGGGATTAAAGGCACATGCCACCACCCTGACTTTAAGGGAGTTTTTCTAGAGAGTACCATGTGGGTTGGTGGACCGAGTGAGGCTGACATTATCCAATCATCTGGGAGCCTGGGTAGAACTCTGTCTTTTGTGGAGCCCAGATATTTTATGCCCTTGCTCTTGAACCACAGAACGCGGGTTCTTAGTTTGCATCAGATTCTTGAGTTCTTATGCTTCAGACTGAAAGTTATTTATGAGATTCCTTGGACCAAGATACCCAAGTCTCCAACCTGTTGTGGGACCTTTCAGGCTCTGTAAGCATGTAACCCAATTTTTTATAACAAGTCCCTATCATCCTTTGCATCTATATCTCTATATAACCCCCACTCACTTTGCCTAATACACTAAGAAAGAATACCACAGAAATTGCAGGTCTTCTCATGAACTTCCTTACCTTGAGTTTACAGTACCATTTAGTGGGCTGTTCAGACTGTCACTGAGCCAGATGCGAGACAGTCAGAGCAGTCAGGGGAGGGGAGTGGGCACCTTACCTCTGAAATGTTACTATTTCAGGAATAGTGAAATTTCTTTCACAGAATTCATGGTCCTGGGAACCAAGTCAATAAAAGTGGTTAATTTTCAATGCAAAATGCTTGCTTCATTGTCTTTGAATTTTGCCACTTTGTGTGTGTGTGTGTATAGATTGATAGTTTTCAACATGAAGACAAGGGCTCCATGGAACTGGAAGTTGGTTTACTTTTCATGGCCCTGGCTCAATAGGCCAGAAAGGGGCTTTCTATTTGACAAGGGTAATTGATTCTGATTATCAAAGGGAACTAGGGAGAGAGCTATAAAATGGAGTGAGGAGAGAATATATCTGGAGAGAGCAGGCTTATGGGTTAAGAACACTTGTTTTTGCAGTGGTCCTGGGACCCAGATAGTGGCTCACAACCACCTGTAACTCCAGTTCTAAGGGATTCCACACCCTCCTTTGACCTCTCCAGGTACCAGGCACACACGGTGCACATACATAAATGCAGACAAAAACATTCATACACATTAATAAATGAATCTTAAAAAATGTTTAAAAGGGAATAATATATCTGGAACACAAATGATCTTCTGGGGCATTCTCTAAGAATGGCATATCTAGCAATATCATGTAATGTAAAATGACAGCCACTTTATAAAAGTAAGAGTCCTCAGAAATGGAGTTTGGGGTCATCTAACCAATAAAGATCCTGTGATGCAGACTGAGACAGGAAGTATATATGAACAGAACTGAAGTGTTATTCTATAGTTTGTGTCCACTTGCAAAAATGAGGAGTCTTGAGGTTATCATGTTGCTCCTTACTGTTGTGGGAATTCACTCAGCCAATAGCTTTTGGGGTTTGTGGTTCTATGTATGGACAGATAAGTGAGAGAAGAAACATGCTCTTTTGGGAGGTGGGAACAGAAGCAAGCTTGTGTAGTTGTTCACATCTCCCCAGGGCAGAGCAGCAGAACATAGCAACTTCTACCTTGTCTGGTATTCTGTGAGTCTGTGTTTCCATTTGAATCCCATTTGTGTCCCCATAATAAAGACAATTTGTAACTCTCGAAATACCTCTCGATTTACCTTACATTATGTATATAAGATATGTAGTTGTCTGTTTTGAGTTATGCAACTCCATGTTTCTTGTAATTTCATTGTTTCATAGAAGATGGTTTAGTTACATGATGTTGATGTTGTCAAATAGTATTTTATTCAATGTTTCTAGACTGTGAATTGATTGAGAGGTTCTGTTTTGCTAGATTGCTCCTTTCCAATAAATTTCGTTTTCAATTTTGTCGACTAGCAGAAGCCAGACACGTAGCTAATGCTTATAGTCCTGGCACTAGAGAAGCTAAAGAAGGAGGATCCCCACAAGTTTGAGGTCAGCTACATAGTTCCAAGACAACCTGGGCTACAGAGTGAGATCCTATCTCAAACAAGTAAGGAAGCAAACAAACAAATTGACCAGACTAGTCACTTCTATTACTTACAACCAAAGAATACTTATAACCAAAGAATATGGACACCTGCGAGTGGGTTTCAAACAAAAGCTTTTGAAAATGTGGTATATCTGGAATTGGTCACAAGCCTTAGTTGCTTGTCAGTTGCTGAAATAAAACATCCCGACAAAGAGCAATTCAGGGAAGGAAGGGTTTATTTTGGTTTACAATTTGAGAGTATAGTCCATTATCTGGTGGCAGGAGCTTCAGACAACTGGTCACATCACATCCATAGTCATGAGGGTAGTAAAATGAGTGCATGAATGTTTGCTTGATTGTTCTCAGTTCAAGATTTCTATATTCTTACCCATTTCTATATTCTTATACTCCTACCTAGGGAATAGTGCCACCCACAGTGGATAGGGTCTTCCCAAATCAACTAACAGGACACTCTATCTCTTGAAAGCAAGCAAGCAAGCAAGCAAGCAGGCAAGCAGGCAAGCATACAGGTATTAATTTCTCTCTGTTCTTGACTATGGCTGTGGTGTGTCCTGCTGCCTTGACTTTCCTGCTGTGATGGACTGTAAATAGCTTGAGATTGTGAGCTAAAATAACCACTTTCTCTCTAAATTGCTTTTTGCTAGGTAGTTTATTACAATAACAGAAATGAAATTAGAGCAAATAGCAACTTACTGAATACTCCATTTTGCCTTCACTGGTTTATCATGTATTCCCTTCATGTTTTTATTTCTAAATTTTCTGGCCCTTTATCTTATTTTTAACACACATATATATGTTGTGGAATATATAACCTAGCTGCGGAGTTACAATTGCTGATTAGGACAGCAGTTGCTTAAGGGGCAGCTACGGAATCTAGTGAAAACCAACATATATACGCATATACATAGAAAAAGTTTTCTATGGATGCCATATATAAATATCATTTTTTGAGCTGTTAATGGATTTCTTTAGTCATTGGTGGCAATGACTCATCTTGTGAGGGTTTGCTACCTGGAGTCCACTGCAAGTTATAATCAGCTTCCCTCCACCCACAGAAACACCTGGAGGTGCACTGCTTGTTCTGCCTATCTGATGCCCCCAGGTGCTAGCTGGCAGAGGAAGTCAAAGTTCTGCAGTAGGCCGACAGCTTAGGAACTCCAAGGGAAGCCAAATTATCCCAGTGTTCTACTTACCATCTTTTGACCAGTCAATTCAATCTGGAGTTTGTTCATTTAATTTGACAGTGTTTACTGAGCATCTCCTTAAATGCCAGAAACTGTTCTAGACACTTGGCATACTTGTGGCCTTTTCTGGGGAGACAGGAACAAATGTTTATTTGTGATGGTTTAAATTTGAAATGTCCAATTCAATGTTTCAGTCGGTTGAATACTTGGTTCCCAATTGGTGATGCCTTTAGCTTTAGGAGGTGCAGTTTTGCTGCTGTCATGCAGGGTGGTAATGGCACAGGCTTTTACCTGCTAAGCCATCTTGCCCGCCCTCTTTTTAATTTTAAAGTTTTTTTTTTTCTTTTGAGACAGGGCCTCTCTATGTCACCATAGGGATGTCTTGAAACTCCCTATGTAGAAAGTGCTGGGATAAAAGGCGACTTCCCATTCTCCTCCTCCTCCTTGAGCTTTCGGACAGTAAGGACAATTTAGGGGAATCTCTTCTCTCCATCCACCTTTATATGGGCTCTGGGGATCGAACTCAGGTTTTAGGCTTGTGTTGTAGATGCAGAACCATCTTGTCAGCTCTGCAGAGGCCTCTTAACCTCATTTTATAGGCGCTCCTTCTCAGATCCCAGTTTCAACGTTTCTGACGCCAGCGTCCATTTCAAACAAAACAAAACAAAAAACCCAAAAAAACCTAAAAACCCCAAACTATCCCCTTAAATTTTCACCACTGCTAGGTTCAAGTGCCAGCTGTAGACTGTCACTTAAGGCCCTAACCCTTGAAAGAATCTGTAATTTTCAGGTGCTATTATTATGGGTTGAGGTCAAGATACAAAAAAGCCAGGGTTGAATTGAGCAGGAAGTGCCCTAGTGCCCGCAGGAGAGCCTGGTCTAGGTTTATTGTGAGCATACAGTACTCTAAGCAAGGTCTGGTGACGAAGCAGGTCCTCCTCTCCCGCGCGGCCTTCCCGCGCGCCTCGCGGGGCGTCCCTAGCAACGCGCGCGCTCGCTCATAGCCCTGCCCCGCCCGTGGCGGCGGCAGCAAGGTGCGCCTGCGCGTGGCCTCAACCGCCAGTCAACTCGCTCCCGCTTCCCCTCCTTTTCCCGCCCCTCCCCTCTCCTCCTCCTCCACTGCCGGCTGGAGCGCGACACCAACATGGAGCTGGAAGATCTACCGTGGCCTGGCGAGCTGGAGGAGGAGGAGGAGGAGGAGGTGGAGAACGCGTCAGCGGCGGCGACCGAGGAGGAGGTGAAGGCCGGGACCTCTCAGGAGATTTTGGGAGCGGAAGAGGAAGAGGTCGAAGAGGAGGGGCCCGAGGTGGGTTTGGATTTGGATTTGAACTGCGAGTTCCAGCCGCAGGAGAGCACGGACGAAGAGGAGGACGAGATGGCCAAGGCCTGGCTGCAGGCGCACCCTGCCCACACTGTCGGGGCTTGCCCTCCGCTCCCACCCCCGCGGCACGTGTACGCGCCGGTGGAGCATCTGAGCGAGACTGAGGTGAGTAGTGGTAAGGAGCCTGGCTGAGGCCCAAGTGCCAGTCGAGGTGTTTGAAATACTGAACTTGGGCCGGGATCTCGGGGTCTGCTCGCTGCGGGTCGCCGTGCGTACGGGGCCGGAGACCCCGATTGTGGGGCTGGCCGACTCTTCGCAGTCTCGGGTTCTTCCTGGCCGTGACATCTCTGGTATCTCTTCCGCCTTTTAGTGAGTCCAGGGGTATTTTTTTTTTTTTTTTTTTTTTTTTTTTTTTTAAAAAGGGGAAAACGACAGATGCGCTGGGAGCCGGTACTCCCAGAGCGTGCAATTAGAAAGGCCTCTTGGGCAGAAGGTGGTAGCTGGGGAGGTTGTTTGGGGAATAGCTCTAGCTAGTGGGGAGATATTTGGCGCCTTAGTTTTATTGAAGTTCAAGACCCCCACTCTCCCGCCCCCTGAGCAATTAGTGTAGCTTGTGTACTCTGCATGAGCTGTCTTAGAAGCTTCTCGCTCACTGTTGTGTACCTCGCCAGTGGCAGGAACTCGGAATGGAAGCCACTTGTGATTTAACTCTAGTTTGGATTATTAGAAAGCACCAAGTCAAGACCAAATGGAGGAAGAACCGAGTTTACTGAGGTCCTGCCAAGATCACTTTGAAACTAACCATGTTCTTAATTAAATGTCAAGAACTGAGTTGTTGTTCAATGCAGCCACGTGTAGGTCTTCATATATTAATTAGTAACAAATAGACTAGAAGGGCTGCTGGTGTGTTTTAGTGGTAGAGATCTTACCTAGTGTTCAAGCCCTAGTTCTCGGGGCTGGGGGGGGATTATTAAAATTAGGAATTCAATGGCCTTGTTTAATCACTTTTCAAGTGATCCATAAGCCATGCTTAGTTAATGGCTGTCACATTGGCCATAGCACTTAGCAATCACGGAACAATTCCATCAACTCAGTGATACTATGGACTGACTGGTGAAGAGACTGCTAGGTATTGCAGGGAGTGTTTAATTCATTCAGCTTATACTTTAAGCATTCCCCTTGTGCCACACATTGTACTTGATGCTAAGGAAATTTTGGTGAACCAAACCTCTACTATCCTAGTGTTCCCACTCTTTAATTTTTTATTTTTTGTAACTTTTTTTATTAGTTCAAATTAGAAACAAGCTTGCTTCACATGTCAATCCTTCCTCCCTCTCCCTCCCCTCCCCCAACCTTCCCCCCAACCTTCTACCGGCCCCCCATCCACCCTCCACTCCCCAGGTTGGGTAGGGCCCTTGACGGGGGCTCCCCAAAGTCAACCACATCCGGCCACATAGAGTGCAGAGGCCTTCTCATTGACATCCATGTTGAGGGGTCTGTATCAGTTCTGTACTGGCCTCCCAGACAGCAGTCTGGGGTCCATGTGCTC